TTGACAGAGACACAGCGAGAGAGGGAACACGAGCAGGGGGAGTGGGAGAGGGAGAAGCAGGCTTCCTGTGGAGCAGGGAGCCCGATGCGGGGCTCGATCCTAGGACCCTGGGATCATGACCTGAGCTGAAGGCAGATGCCTAATGACTGAGCCACCCAGGCGCCCCAACTTCCCATTATTCTTTACTAAAACAGTGTTGTAAGGAATATTTTATAGATCTTTAAACATGTATTTTATGGTTTAAAATTTTTTTAAAAATTTATTTATTTATTTATTTATTTAAGTAGGCTCTGTGTCCAACTTGGGGCTTGAACTCACAACCCTGAGACCAAGAGTCGCATGCTCCACTGACTGAACCGGCCAGGTGCCCCTACGTACATGTATTTTATAGGATGGATTCTTAGAAGTGAAATTATTAGATCAAAAGTATTCCTTTTTTTAAAAATAAGAATTCTGCCAAATTGCATACCTTAAAATACCTTAAAATTTAAAACTCTAGCCACACTGTGGAAGAGTTAGTATCATTTTGCATATCTGCCAGCCCTTTTAATATTTTTTAACCCTTTTAGTATTTTAATTAATTGGACAAAAAAAAATGGTGTCACACTACTTTAACTTTCATTTTTTAAAAGATTTTATTTATTTGTCAGAGAGAGCACAAGCAGGGGGAGCGGCAGGCAGAGGGAGAAGCAGGCTCCCCACTGAGCAAGGAGCCCGATGCTGGACTCGAACTAATGCTGCTATGAACATGAATATACAAGTATCTTTTTAAGACTCTGTTTTCAATTCTTTGGATATATACCCAGAAGTGGAATTGCTGAATCATATTGTAGTTCTCTTTTTAATTTTTTTAAGGAACTGCTATACTGTTTTCCACCATAGCTGTACCATTTTACATTCCTACCAGCTACAAAAGCAATGTTTTTCACATCCTTGCCATCACTTTTGTGTTTTTTGATAGTAGCCATCCTAATAGGTGTTGGTATTTTTTAAAATAGATGTTTGCCAAGGATCTTGGGTCTGTAGAATAGGAAAAATGTGATCCTTGTGAATTATGATTATAGAATTGGCAGCTTTTATCTTCTTATCTAGTGGTTCTCAACCTGAGGCTAATTTGCCCTCTATGGGCCATTTGGCATTATCTAGAGGTTTTCTTGGTTGTCATAACTCAAGGGGTGGGGGTGTTCCTGGCATCTAGTGGGTAGAGTTCAGGGGTCTACTAAATTTCTACAATGTACAGGACCATCCTCCTACAACAAAATACTAATAGCACTGAGGTTTAGAAACCCTGCTCTAGGGGCGCCTGGGTGGCTCAGTTGGTTGGGCGACTGCCTTCAGCTCAGGTCATGATCCTGGAGTCCCGGGATCGAGTCCCGCATTGGGCTCCCTGCTCGGCAGGGAGTCTGCTTCTCCCTCTCACCCTCCTCCCTCTCATGCTCTCTGTCTGTCATTCTCTCTCTCTCAAATAAATAAATAAAATCTTTAAAAAAAAAAAAACAAAACCCTGCTCTAATCTAAAACATCTGTGTTATAATTTTATCTTCTTTTCTTTTTTTTATGCACATTTTTTTTATTCTTATGTTAATCCCCATGCATTACATCATTAGTTCTAGATGAAGTGTTCCATGATTCATTGTTCGTGCACAACACCCAGTGCTCCATGCAGAACGTGCCCTCTTCAATACCCACCACCAGGCCAACCCATCCTCCCACCCCCCTCCCCTCTAGGACCCTCAGTTTGTTTCTCAGAGTCCATTGTCTCTCATGGTTCATCCACCCCTCCGATTTCCCCCGCTTTTTATCTTCTTTTCTTACTGTGGAAACTCAGGCATAAAATTTTATTGGTTGGCTTTGGAGAGTGCAGATGTGATGACTCAAGCCATTAGTTCACAAGTCCTAGAAATCTACCTAGGAC